TTTGTCTGATTTTGTATTTGTGGTAAATTTTAGGATTTATCTCAAAATAAAAATTTCCAACTCTGCTTCTTTCAATTTCCTACATCAGTTTAATTTGGGAGTGTGCTGAGATGACCAGGAAGTCTATTAAAAATGCAAACATGGGCCGGGCGCGGTGGCTCAAGCCTGTAATCCCAGCACTTTGGGAGGCCAAGACGGGCGGATCACGAGGTCAGGAGATCGAGACCATCCTGGCTAACACGGTGAAACCCTGTCTCTACTAAAAAATAAAAAAAACTAGCCGGGCGTGGTGGCGGGCGCCTGTAGTTCCAGCTACTCCGGAGGCTGAGGCAGGAGAATGGCGTGAACCCGGTAGGCGGAGCTTGCAGTGAGCTAAGATCCGGCCACTGCACTCCAGCCTGGGCGACAGAGCGAGATTCCGTCTCAAAAAAAAAAAAAAAAAAAAAAAATGCAAACATGTCTTTGATCGGGACTTTTCTCTATGCTGAACCATCAAAACAAAATACAGAAATTGGATATTGAGGCTATATCAGAATAAAGCTGTACCTTTTAAATGTTAATCATAACATTAGCAAACAAGAAAAGGCTCATTGTTCTTATTGTTTGGTAATGTAATTTTCAATGTGTTTTATATAGGATTCCTAATAGGTTTTCGATTTCATTTGCAAAATAGGTTCTGTTGCTAAATCATGTTTGAGAACCACTGTGCCTTACCATGTTATCACTGTCCTGCTTTTGATCCTCAAATACTTGAAGATATTTATAATTAGTTTGGGTGCAAAGTATATCTAGGAGGTCTAGCAACCTTAAAATACTGAAAGTGTTTAGAAAAAACAACCAGTTTTTAAAAAATTCTTTAAATTGTTTTCTCTCCAAATCATTTTCAAGTGCAGGCTAGTATAAGATAGCTTATTTACTTTCAGTTTAGTGCATTTGAATAATTAGCAGGGTTTTTCTGCTTTTAAAAGTCTTTTCTAGGAGTAACATATTGGAAAACAGTCTCTTAAACATAATTTTTATCAAGTTCCTTGTTTTGCGGGGGAGGAAATTGGGTAAAAAATAGAATGTGATTTGGTCAATATAATTTTGTCAAACAATGATTAATGCCAGGGTGGTACTTGGGATGCAAAAATAAAGACCCATTCCTTGCCTTCGAACTTATAGTCTAGTCAGAAAGATAAATAGGTGAGCTGAAAATTACATTGTAATCTGATAATTGTTGAAACAGAGGGACATAATGTTTTATCCTTGCTGCCTGGTCTAGGGAAAGGAGGTGATATTTGAAGGATGTCTTGGAAGCTAGTGGGTGTTTGCCACGGTAGTGAGAGAGCACTTCCATCTGAGGAAATATGAATAGCCCTTAAAGGACTGAGAGTTGGGAAATCAGTAATATAGTTTACTGTGGCTAAGGTGTGTGTGGGGAGGAGGTGTGAGAAGAGGATGTTGTTAACTTGGTGGAGCAACAGCAGGAGATGAATTTGTAGAGATAAGTTGGGTCTACATTGTGAAGGACCAAGTATGCCATGTTAAAAAATGTAGACTTCTTATGTAAGCTGTGAAGAGCCACAGCTGGGAGAGACTTATGTTTTAGAAATAAATGCTGGAAGATAGATTGGGAAAGGGAGAAATTGGTTCGTTCATTCAATAAACATTTACTGAGCACCTACTGTGTGAAAACAACTTAGGTTCTAGGCACTTGGGATACAGACAGTAAAAAAAGGCAGAAATGTCTGCCGTAATGGAGCTTACCACTTCCAATGTAATGAGATAGATGATATACCAATAAACATAGAAAATAAATTAATCGTGCAGTATAATAGAAGGTGACAAATGCTAAGAAAGAAGAAAAAATAGAGTAAGGGAGTTTTGAGAATGCCAGGTGGAAGTGGTCACAATTTAAGTAAGGTGACAAGAAGCCCAATTTAGAGGTCGTTGCAGTAATTCAAATGAGAAAGAAGACTTGTCTTAGACTAAATGTGGGACTTTAAAATGGAGAGAAAGTATAGATTGGGAGGACCTTTTACCCTGTCGTTTTTGAACCTTTCTAGGCCATAAGTATATAAATTTATATTTATATTATAGATACAAATCTATAATGTATTGTTATGGAGTGAAGGACTTTGTAATGACCACCCTATAAGTGAAACTTTGCCAGCCACACTGGAAACCTCTCCATTTGTCCCATCCCAATCACAAACCCTTCCATTTCTGATAACATGAGATTTATGGTAATCACTTTTCTGCATTTCTTTTTTTTTTTTTTAGCTGTTCTGTTAGATATTTTATTATTCTTAACTTTTAGTTTAAGGGGCACATGTGCAGGTTTGTTATATAGGTTAATTGTTTATCATGGGGGTTTGGTGTACAGATTATTTCATCACCCAGATAGTATGTATAATACCCAGTAGGTAGTTCCATTCCTCATCCTCCTCCCACCCTCTACCCTCAAGTAGGCCCTGGTGTCTATTGTTCCCTCTTTGTGTCCACGTGTACTCAATGTTCCGTTTCTACTTATAAGTGGGAACATGTGGGTTTTGTTTTTCTGTCCCTGCTCTTAGTTCACTTAGGATAATGGCCTCCAGCTTCATCCATGTTGCTAGACATGATCTCATTGTTTTTTATGGCTGTGTAGTACTCCATGTTGTATATGTACCACATTTTCTTTATCCAATCTACTGTTTATGGGCATTTAGGTTGATTCCATTTCTTTGCTATTGTGAATAGTGCTGCCGTGAACATAGGCATGCATGTGTCTTTATAGTAGAATGATTTATATTCCTTTGGATATATACCAGTAATTGGGATTGCTGGGTCAAATGGTAGTTCTATTTTAAGTTCTTTGAGAAATCTCCGGACTGCTTTCCACAATGACTGAACTAATTTACATTCCCACCAGCAGTGTGTAAACCTTCCCTTTTCTCTGCAGCCTTCCTGACATGTTATTTTTTGACTTTTTAATTGTAGCCATTCTGACTGGTGTGAAATGGTATCTCATTGCAGTTTTGATTTGCATTTCTTTAGTGATTAGTGACATTGAGTATTTTTTATATTTTCTGCATTCCTTGATAATTTTATTATTCAAATATATATCTCTAGACACTATAGTTTAGTCATGCCTATTTTTAAAATATCTTTGTCTTTTTTTTTTTTTTAAGCTATAGGTTTTCTCTCCTTCCTTTGTTTTTCCTTACAGTTTATCAGCTGAAGAACTAGGCTGTTTGACCTTAGAATTTCCCATAGCTGGAGATTTTTCTTATTGCAAATTCATGGTATAACTCAACATGTTCCTCTGTCCTTTGTATGTCTTGTAAGTTAACAGGTGGACCCAGAGGCTTCATGATACTCAGGTGTTATCCCTTTGGCCTGACAATAGCAGTAGAGTGTTCTTTCATTGAAAACCACATAATGTCTGATTATCTCTTTTGCAATGTTACTAGCTATTTTTGCTCAATGCCTAGAATTAGTAATTCATTGGGGATTGCAAAGTTGTGATATTCTAATTATAGTATATCTGTTTTAGTTATTAGCTAGAATACTTTTGCAAAGAGTCATTTCCCCTCATTTACTGTGTGGATATCCAGTGGCATAGTGCCAATAGGAAAGGCAGCATAAATGCCTTTTTCATTATTTACCACTGTTTAAGGTAATGAGTTAGCTCCCTATCATTCTCCTTTTTTATTACTCTATCAACATTTCCAGACTTTGGAAAGGGAGCCTTGATTTGTCAGTTTTAAGAATTTGTAGGTACTAGGTTGCTCTAGTCTCTTCAGATATCACCTGGCTATATTTAGATTAGGCAAAACCCCTCCCTGTTTTAACTTCTGCTCTAAAGTTGGCTCATCATGTGTTCAAGTGTATGTTTGTTGACTACTTTGGGGTTCTTTTGTTTTCACTACATCAGATAGCCAACTGTTTCTTCTGCTTCTTCCTGTACAGATGTTGATACTTTACAGGTCTTGTGGCAGTTGGTTTATCCTCAGCTGCTTGTATTTCTGGGGGATAGCTTATCATCTAGTTTTGTTGTGAATATTTTCCAAGGGATTTGGCTTTGCTATCTAGTTGCTTGGTCTGTTTTAATGTGGAAATCGAGGAGGTTTTTAAAAAAAATCTCACTGCCACCAGTGCCATCTCCCAGAAAGGCATTGAATCATGGAAGAGTTAGTGTGGAATTGAGAATAAATTTGAAGTTTCTAACTTGGAAGATTTGGTAAATGGTAATTTTATTGATGAAGATTTGAAAAATGTAAGAGAAGGAACAAGACAGAGAGTGGCGGATAAGACCAAGTTTTGATTTCTTAGGTTTGAAATACTCTATTTGAGATCCTCTAATAGAAATTCCTTCTGAAGAAGTATGCTGCTAGAATTTGACCGAGCTAGGTGATGGAACATCAACACTTTGAGAGTAATCAAAGCCATTACAAGTAGGAAAAATTTTATTTTTTGGTAAAAATTACAGTGTGAAAAACCAGTAGAATAGGAAAAATGCACTTGAAGATAAAACATTAATAATACACATTTATGAACTAGTAGTTTTATGTATTTTCTAAAAATATGCACAATGCATTTACATTGAAAAGCAATCCAAAGAAGAAGACACTATGCAAAGATCCATTTACATGGATGCAACTGTTTTTTCAGTCATTAGGTACAGGTGCCATATATATTTAATATAATATCAAGGCAATGAATTTATAAAATCTGAGTATTTTTCCAACTTGAGACCCTAGATAAAGATGATAAGGACTCATAATCTCCAAGTTTTTATAATTTTAGTAGACTTTAGTATACTATCACAGATCCTTTAAGAGTTAGTGAGAAAGTGTTCTTTCTTACAAGCTATTCTAGATAGTTCTAAGCTCTATCTTCAAGAGGATTTTTCAAATAGTATCCATTTTTGGACACTCCTTTTTAAACATTTCATTTGTTCTAAATATCAACTCAAATGATTTACTTTGGATGTCTTTTCCTTCCTTATCTTTCTTTATTATTATTATTATTAGGCCAGTCTTCAGAGACCTGAGATTAAACTTGAATCACTGAAAGAAGATATTAAGGAATTCTTTAAAATATCAGGTTCGTAATTTTTTCCTAAAAACTTAAGGCAAAATAAGAAAATGTTTTATTTATTCCTAATTCTTTAAGCCCTCAAACTTGTACAGCCACCTTACTTTGTTGTTGTCACTCTGTTTTGTTTTTTTAGGCTTTTAACAGCCTGAAGCCATGGTTTTTGGTTTCTGTCTCTAGTGATAAGCAGAGAAGAGGGATGAGGAAAGAGCTTTACTGGCCCAATCAGAAACAGAAACTAAGAACCCATGACTGTATTCTGTGCCTTGGACACCCTTGCAAGGCAAAATAAATAATATTTTATCCCCAGCCTTCCAGTTTCTCATTCAAAATTGTGAAAACTATGGCCAAATAGGTTTCTATTTAGGGAGAATTAGAACTATTAGGCATTTTAACAAAATGGTGCAAAAATTCAAGAACTCTGTGAGAAAGACTCCTTTGCATTAGTTTGTTTTAAATACTGTTTGCCTTACTGGTAATATCCTGATGGATAAATACATCCTTAAGGTATTAAGTATCTCCTTAGTTAAATAATTTTTCATTTTACTTTTCAGTTGTGACTTTTTTCCTTTTATGCTTTCACAGAAAATAAAAAGAAAATTCTAACTTTTCAAAGAGCAAGAGGAGAGAGAGGTTCCCTAGTCCAACATCTGCATATGGGAACTGAGATGTTAAGTGGTTGTCCCAGATAGTTAGAAGCTGAGCTAACTGGTCTGACTATTGGTAACTCACAATAATCTGCCTCTGTCGTCCAGGACTTTGCTGACAAGTTAATTATAACTAGATACTTGTCATCTATCTTCATCAGGTGCCTGTTTTTTGCTGTTCCCTTGGCACATTCCTTACAGCTTTAGTAGTACAACATTCGAAGATTTTGACATTCATTGAGCACTTTGATAGTGAAAAAGGAAACGTTCCTCCCAACTTGATAAAATGGTGCAATAATGATATTATTTTAAAATATCATGTTGGTGACTTTACTGCTCAGTGTTAGCCAAGGGATATAGTAAGTATATAGGAAATAATCTTTAATAACACTTTATATAGGGATTGGCAGTTGACAAAGTTCTTTCACAAATAAATATGATGCCAAAGTTTTGTTGAGATAAATTTAATTATGATGTATGTTTATTTAAAAACTAGTATGTTCATATATTTTATTCTTTTTTTAAAAAACAGGTTGGGAGAAGAAACTTCAGAATGCTGTTTATAGTGAACTGAGTGTGTGAGTTTTCCTATCTATTTTGCAATAGTGTTTTGTTTAGCTGTATTTACTTTGTGAGTAATAAAACCAGTATTGTTATATATACTTGTTGTATTATTATTTCTCATTAATATTTATACAACATTTCAAGTAAGTTAATACAATTAAAAATTACTCCCATCTTGCCTGACAAACAATAAGAAATAGGTGTTTTTTTTTTTTTTTTTTTTTTTAACCACCTACTATTTTATTTTTTTAATTTTCTTTCTTTTTGAGATGGAGTCTCACTGCTGTTGCCCAGGCTGAAGTGCAGTGCAATGATCTTGGCTTAACTGCAATCTCCACCTCCTGGGTTCAAGTGATTCTTGTGCCTCAGCCTCCCAAGTTGCTGGGATTACAGACCCCTGCCACAACACTTGGCTAAATTTTGTATTTTTAGTAGAGATGGGGTTTCACCGTGTTGGCCAGTCTAGTCTCGAGCTCCTGACCTCAAGTGATCCACCTGCATTGGCCTCCCAAAGTGCTGGGATTACAGGTATGAGATACTGCATCTGGCCCCACCCATTATTTTATATTAACAATTCATTTATCCAGTGGAATTATGGAATAAGATGTTTCTCTAAAGTTCATATTTCAGATAACCGAAGCTTACTTACATTCTTTTTTTGTGTCTTTATAAACTGTCCATTCTAAACATGATTATCTTTTTTGTTCTTTGGCAAGATTGGTGTTATTATTAAGAACATCTGTGTTTTTGTTTATTTAGATTTAACATCAAGGTCTATTAAGGTGTATAGAACTGTTTGCCATTTTAAAATGTGAATCCAGAATGTTAGCTTTTGTAGTTTCTTCAATGTTCTGTTACTTGTCAGTTATTTATTGAATACCTACCATGTGGTAGCACCATACTAAGCACAGAGCATATAGTGTAGAACAATAAACACAATTTCTGCCCTCATAGAGCTCATAGTCTAATAGAGTTCCCAAGTCTAATAGAGTTCCCATGTCTGCTTTTTTTTTCCTTTACTGCTATCACTGTATTTCTGTCTGTAGCCTTCTCTAGTGTTTAACACTCCCATTTTCAACTTGACTTTTCCAGTTCATTTAACTGGGAAATGACATAATGCAGCTTACCAGAATTGTTTCTGAAATGAAGAGACTCAGATGAACGCCTGTGCGTGCGCATGTGCTTTAGATACAATTTTTTAAAAAATTAGTATTTGCTTCTTTGCTTTGCTCAAATCCATCTTCCCAGTTGGATTTAAATTCTTAAATAATGTTAGATATAAGTGCTATCTAGTAATTGAAGTTGACTGTGATCATACCTTTAGTAGTACTGTGACAGTACCTTTGGCAGTCACCAAAGGAATAGACATTTATCATGACAAGTAAGGTTTTAAATTTATAATATGTACTAAAGGTGCCTGTTGTGTGTAATTCCAAACACTGGATTCTCAATCTGAGGTGATATTACTAATATTACTGAAAATTGTTCTGTGTGACAGACTGCCCTTTACTTGATAGAAGGGACTGTGTTTTATTCATTATCATATTGTTGACATTTTGTACAATAGAACTTTAAGTATATATTTTCTGAATAACTCGTTGGGATTTTTTTAAGGAGTCCAGTGATATTATTTTTATTCCTCGCTTGGGTTCTGAACAAATTAAGAAACAAGATAAAACAAAAAAGCAGATGGGATATCCAAATTACGCTTTTATTACTGATAAAGACTAGGTAGGAGGACATAGCTTAGTATGAGAGCAAAATTAGTCTTTCAACTGATCTCAAGAATTAAATAGATTTAACCTTCCAGTCAAATAGCATTGGATCAGGGGCAGTATGTTCAGTTTATGCTTCTCAAATTTAAAAGTTGAATAAGGCATAAACCTCTTCTGTGGTGTGTTGAGTTAAGCCTTAGAGAGAGTCCAAGAATGTTATAGTAATGGAACTCTTTTCACATGGAAGTGCACATCAGGGGTGGGAAAGAAACATTTCCCATAACATAAGTCAAAAAATAAAGAAGACTTAGCGTATTCTGTTGCATTTTTCATTGGCAGCAACCATTAGATGGATGAATAAGGAAAGCAAAAAGGAAAGTATGAGTATTCATTAGGTAATATTAAACAATGGGAGATAAAAAATACACATCCTTATGCCTAATAGAGGTATAGAACACACGAGCTATACAGACTATACCTGAAAACAGTACGCTTCATTTTACTTGTTTTAGTAAGCATTACAAAGATTTTAGTCAGTTTCTTATTTGACAAATATACTAGAAAATTTTCTGTATTCTGTTATTTATGTGAAATTTTCAACTAGTATAGGTTAGCACTCTCCATTTCAGATTGCATACTTTAATTATCTTTTCCATTCATTTAAAACAGTTATATATTTGTTATTGTGTTAATAACTATTTAGTATTATATGAATGATAATTTACAGTGATTGAATGCTTATTTTGTGCCAACACTTTACATGCATTGGCTTATTCAATATAATCTTCACTACAACCCTATGAAGTAAAATTTATTATGATCACCGTTTTGCAGAAGAGAAAACTGAGGCTTAAACCATGTTTTAGTCTGTCTCGTGATACTATAACAGAATACCTGAGATTGGGTAATTTATAATGAATAGAAATTTATTGGCTCACAGTTCTGGAGGCTGGGAAGTCCAATATCAAGGTGCTGGCATCTGGTGAGAGCCTTCTTGCTGCATCATCCCATGGCAGAAGGTGAGAGGGCAAGAGGGGGTTTAACCCACCGACAGTCCCACCCATGTCGGTGAAGCTCATGGCCTAATCACTTCTGAAAGATCCCACCTCTGAATACTGTTACAATCGCAAATTTTAACATGAGTTTTGGAAAGGACAAACATTCAAACCATGGCAGACCACTTAAGGAACTTGTTGAACATCATATAGCTAACAAATGGAAGTGCTAGGGCTTAACCTCCAACTATATGATTCCAAAGCCCATGCATTTTACTACGTCTCACATAGGCCTATGTCTTATCTCTTAACTGAATTTAAAATGTTCTGGAACAAAAATTGTGTCTTACATTTCTTTCATATTTCCTATAGTATCAAATAAATGATATTGAGTCAGCAAATAGTTATTGAGCCACCTACTAATGCTAATACATGACAAATATTTGTTGAATTGAGGAAACAGTGCAATTATTAGTCTTAGCCTTACTATATTTAAGACAATCTTTACATGCAAAATGAAAAATAGATCAATTTATTTCTGTGTTTTAGTCTTCATTGTACTTTGTACAGAGCAGTTTGTAAGAAATTAGATGACCTATTATTTTTCCCTTAAAGAACATAAAGAAGTAAATAAACCTTAAAAATCTTATTCTATATGTGCATGTTATAAAAACATATCGTATAGTTTGCTGTTATAGTAGATACATGCAAAAGTCTACCACACCTTACAGAGTTACAAGTGTCAAACAGTAGTGGGCCTAAAATGGAAGGATGTTAGATAAGGGATACCTTACACTAGACCACAAATTTGGATAAGTCTTCATACACATTCATGGCTTTCACTGGGAGAGTGCTCAAGCAGTAGACCTGGGTACCTCTGAAACGTCCTAAACGTACAGTTCTTCTTTGCCCTCTTAGTTTGAAATGCTACTGTATGTTTGCTATTGTGCACAGAGCCAGGTGCTGTTGATAATAAACAGGCTAGACAGCCTTTGTCTCCCGGAACTTACATCTCAGTTGGGCATAAAGACTTTAAAGAGGCATTTACAGTGCAGTAAAATAAGTGCAATGATTGGGGAAATACAAGGAACACATAAGGCTGGCATTTAACTTAGATTTGGGGTTGCCATGGTGGCTTGCCAAAGGAAGCAATATCCACGCTGAGATCAGAAAACTAAGCTAGAGTTTGTCAGGGGAAAGAGTAGAGAAGAAAAGCACTTCAGGCAGAAGGGAATAGCAGGCTCAGAGATTTAGAAGTGGAAAAGAGTGTGGTGCAAATGTTCAAAAGTTTGTATGGTTGGGTGGTAGCAGGTGAAGGGAGCATGGCTAAGGACGAGTCTAGATTTATAAAAAGGATTGTGCCTCTTCAGACTTTGTAGACTGGATCCTAAAAGCATTTGGGTGCCATTTAAAATTGTAAGTAAAGTAGTAATATGATCAAATTTGCATTTTATCAATTCAACAATATATTGGTTATCTACTATGTACCAGGCATTATGCTAGATGCTGGAATTACAATTACTGGTGAATAAGGGAGACATCACTTCTGGCCAACATCCAGGCAAACTGGTGAATAGATTGAAAATAGTCTGGAAGCACTTAGGAACCTGCTGGATAAATGTAGGTGAGGAATAATGGTTGCCTAAAATAGTTTACTGTCAGTGGGTAGAACATTTAAGTATTTAGGGAGACTTGGGGGACAAGAAGAAAATAGAGTGAAGTGTGCTGTATAAGTTTCTGTGCATTTTTCCTATCTGGCAATCCTTATCTCTGCATATTACTAAATGTAAGCTCCATGAGGGCAGATATTTTAGCCAGTTTTGTTCACTTCTGTCTCTTTTTTACATTGAGTAGGTTGTCATTAAATGTTTCTGAAAAAATAAATATCTAACTTGATTTTGGTCTTAATAAGAATGACTTTCAAGTTGTCTCCTCTTGTTATCTGTATTTTGGATACATTTCTTTGATCATTAAATAACTATTAAGATCATCAGTAAATTCTCTCAAATTTTAATCCTAAATTTCTGAGCTTTATTAAATTTAGACATAATTACCATTAAAAGTGGAAGCAAATGATGTATTGGACAATGTGAGATAGTTTTTCAACTATCTTACATATAACACAAGAAATATCAAAGTATCTAGAGACTTAACTTTTTTTTTCATTTGTGAATAGGAAGGTACCTGAAGTGTAGATTTTATTGGAAAAATAATTTGCCAGAAACAATCAATTTGTGAAACTGCCTTATAGATTAGGTGGGATAGGTTGCCTTTCCCTATTCCAGCAATGTTTCTATGCACAGTTTAGCCTTTTACATGTAGGCTCCAGGACAGATGCAAGTGGTTTCAAATATTATTAACCTTTTACATGCTTTTGTTCCACTTTGGACCAGGAATTTCTTGAGAATTCAGCTCTGCGGTTCTTGATTATTGGAACATGACTGTTTTGCTGTAGGTACAAGTCTGATGACTAATTTCAAGAGGAGTTATGTATCATTATGAAATGGATTGGAATCTCCAAATAAACATTGAACCATCATGTCTTCCTACTGCCTTTTCTATCTGTGATTTCATACCACTCTGCACTTCAGTCATTATGTTCCAGTGATCCTGACTTTTTCTGATCCTTAAACATTTCATGCATTACCTCCTCAGAATTCTTGTGCTTGCCATCCCTCTGCTTGGAATATTCTTCCCCCAGATCTTTGACATGGTTGGCTCCTTCACACTCATGTCTTGGTTTAAATATAAAATCCCCTAAGGGGACTTCACTGACCTCCAAATTTATTGTATCTTATTACCCTGCTTTCATTTTCTCACGGCACTTATTACAATCTGATATTATTTTATTTGTATGTGTTTGTAATTATTGGCTTTCTTCATGACAATGTTATATCCATGAGAACAGAGAATGTTATCTCAATCACCACCTTATACTTAGTACCTAGAGTGGCCCAAGTATTTGTTGACTAAATCAACCTATTTTCTTCATAAAAACAATACATTTTGAATATAAAATGAAATGTTACTGGGAAAACAGTTTATAACATGGACTACAGAGGTAAGTAATATCTAACCAAGAGAGTAATGTGTGATATTTAGCTGCCTCTTTTTGCTCCTAGGTTTCCTTTACCTAGTCATCCTGCTGCACCTCCTGAACATCTTAAAGAACCTTTGGTATACATGAGGAAAGCACAGGTTGGTTTTTCATGTCAAGTTATGTAATACAGAGCCAAAGATCATTCTTGATGTCAGGAGTATGTTTTATTAGTTATGAAATACTGAGTAAGAACCACTAAATTGATGTTAATGGTATTTGTATATTCTTCCATTTTATTTTCAGTAACCAAGGATCATACCTATTTAACTATGGCAACCCTGGAAAAAATGGGGTAGAAGGGGAAAAATAATCTACCATACTGGCCTGCAATTTAAAATATGATACAAGTGTAATGTGGCAGTCATGGCCTGTGATATTAAAGGAATGAAATGTGAATGAACTGATACCCTCTTTCCTTAAAATTTAGGTCTTTGAAGCCAGTGTTATTGATAGTGTATTTAAAATGTATTTGTTCTCACAGTAGGCTGTCATCTATTAATTGTTTGCTGTTATAGAACTCTGATAAACCTGCTATCAAAATGGGTTGGCAAAAAACTAGGAATAAAATAACAAAATAATTTAAGCATAAAAACTATGAATAGTTGTTAAAATGGAAACTCAAGAGGTTCTAGCACATGCCCCTAGCTTTTTTAACTGTCCATCTCAGCACAGCCTCACTCACCTCCCCTCAATCCAGTCCTGTCCGTAAGCCTTCCTCACAGTGCTGTTTGAGTAGGACTCTGTGACTGCCACTGCTGAGACACGTAATGAGCACCACAGTCAGTCAAACTTCATTCTCCAGCATAGCCTCAGAGATGGATTTTTAAAACCTTTTTTGGTATGAAATATTTCAAAGGTACCTTAAAGAACTCCCACGAACCCATCACTCAACTTCCACAGTTATCATGGTTCTTCTGCTCTTGAAAATTTTCTGCAGAGTCATCACATTCCACAACAGTGGAAATTAGGCAGATTTTTATTTTTCAACTTTTATTTTTATTTAAAAAAATCATCAAATTTAGATGGTGAAAAGAAGCAATAGAAATAAAAACCTTGGAGATAGTTGAGGAAGTATATATTTCTGTCTCTAGGTGGTATCTTTTACAGCTGGAAATCAGTTAATGTTTATTTATCAATTTGTCATAAAGCATAATAAGTCATACATATGTCAAAGAAGTGTGTGGGTTTTTTGTTATAAAGATTTAAACTCAAGAAAATAAAAATAAGATTGGGCCTGAATAATTTTTAGTGAAATTGAAAATTTCTAAACAGTAACGAGAAAGTATCAGTTTTAACATACTACGTGTAAGAAACAAAACATAAAGATTTTTTTTTTTTAAATCATGACTGAAAAGAAGAGATAGAGAGAGGTAAATAATAAGTCCACTCTCAGAGCTTACTGCTAGTTGTTAAGAATATATGTGAGTGATAGGTACATGTATGATACTCCTCTCTTTTCTTTCCGGACTTTCCCACTTACATCAGGGATCTGCAAACTACAGCCCCTGGGCCAAATACAACCTGCCATCTATTTTTATAGGGCTGGCAAACAAGGAATTTTATTTTTACTTTTTACATTTTTAAGTGGTTGAAAAATCAAAATAAAGATAATCTTGTGACACATGAAAACTATATGAATCCCTAAGATATGTTTTATTGGAAAATAGTCATGTTCATTCATTTGCATATTGGTTGTTGCTGCTTAGTTGCAACAGAGACCCATGGACTGCAAAGCCTAAAATATTTACTGTCTTCCCTTTCATACAAGGTTTGCCAATCCCTGCACTAAATTATTCTTTCTTCAAGAGCAGGGATTGTGCTTTTTATCCTCAGCATCTAGCATAGTAAACACTTTTGATGAGGTTTGCTGTCTTTAACTATGGCCATACTGATTACCTCCCCTATCTATCAGGAAGTGTCTACCTGTCTTTCTATATTTGTTCTTTTTGAGACATTTAGTTGTTTAGCCCCCTATTTTGGGGAGCAATTCTCTCTTCTTTCCATGAAAGCTACCTAGTCTGGATCACATGTCATGTATTGCATCATGTTCTTCCTTGCATTTCATAATCCCTTCCCCATCAGACTTCTGTTCTGTCTGCCATTCTACTCCTTAGTCTAAGGCCACTTTTACTGTTTACTTTCTCTCTTCTCCCAAACTTTTGACCACTTCAAGAGAAAATCATGTAATTTCTGTGTTAACCATTATCTAGTCTCAATTCATTTATTTAACTTCCAGTGGATTCTTTTTGCTGTCTAAGATTATATTTGTTATTCATTGTCTGTCTTCCATTTAGGTTGTTCTAAAACTTTTCTATGCTTGTGTGGCCCCTAATTCAACCTCTGTCTCACTCATTTTAAGCATTTCTCACTTATATTTTATAAAGAATATTCAGGTTATCTCATTCAAGCTTCACAGCTTCCTTCTTTTTTGTTGCCACATCTCTTTTTGCTCTAGTCCTCTAAGATCAACTGTCTGCTGCACATTTTTTTTCTGTGAGATCAAACTTAGCATGTCTAAAACCTTTATGTTCTTTTTAAAATGACCATCTCTTCCTCAGCTTCCTATTTTTGTTACTAGTTATCAAATGCTAAATATTATTTCTTCCCATAGTCTTACAATCTCCTCCTTCTGTTCATTACCAAGGCTGTTACCATAGTAGTCACAATAATGATGATGGTAGTGATAATGCTGATAATGTTGCCTTTTATTGTTTACTTTATTTTAGACATTGTGCTTTAATTCACATCCTTATCTTATTTTTATACCTTCCAACTTTCAATCGATCTCTCCCAATCTCCTTATGTATTCTCAATACTTTAATTATAAGCAGACGAACCCTTATAGCTCACTGCCTTTTAACAAACCTTCAGTGATTATTCTCAGTTGCTCAAAAAATGAAGTTCCTATTCCAGAACCCAGCATTTAAGGATTTTTACTATCTGTCCCCAGCCTTCCCCTTCTACTTTGTCAGTCTCTGCTGTCTTATGACTGTCCTATGTACCTGTCCAAGTGAATCATTTTGCCTTTCCCTCTTGAATCATTAACACTTTTTTGTATTTTGTTTTCCTGTCCTGGAAAGCCCTTTCTGCCTGTTTTGTGTTACGAAAATCCTATCTATTTTGTGAGGGTCAGCTCAGATGACATCTCTTCTCTGATGTTATTATTGATTACTCCTGTTGAAAGGGATCGCTCTCTTGAACTCTGTTGAATAGCTCCCTGTTGTTTTATAGCCCTTAGCACAAATTGCAATTTATTTTAGTAATTGCTTTTTTTTTATTTTTTGAGACTGAGTCTTGCTTTATCGCTCAGGCTGGAGTGCAGTGGTATGATCTTGGCTCACTGCAACCTCTGCCTCCCAGGTTCAAGCAATTCTCATGCCTCAGCCGCCTGAGTAGCTGGGATTACAGGCGCCCACCACCATGCCCAGCTAATTTTTATATCTTTATTTATTTATTATTATTATTATTATTATACTTTAAGTTCTAGGGTACATGTGCATAACGTGCAGGTTTGTTACATATGTATACTTGTGCCATGTTGGTGTGCTGCACCCATCAACTCGTCAGCACCCATCAACTCGTCATTTACATCAGGTATAACTCCCAATGCAATGCCTCCCCCCTCCCCCCTCCCCATAATAGGCCCCGATGTGTGATGTTCCCCTTCCCGAGTCCAAGTGATCTCATTGTTCAATTCCCATCTATGAGTGAGAACATGCGGTGTTTGGTTTTCTGTTCTCGCGATAGTTTGCTGAGAATGATGGTTTCCAGCTGCATCTATGTCCCTACAAAGGACACAAACTCATCCTTTTTAATGGCTGCATAGTATTCCATGGTGTATATGTGCCGCATTTTCTTAATCCAGTCTGTCACTGATGGACATTTGGTTGGATTCCAAGTCTTTGCTACTGTGAATAGTGCCGCAATGAACATACATGTGCATGTGTCTTTATAGCAGCATGACTTATAATCCTTTGGGTATATACCCAGTAATGGGATGGCTGGGTCATATGGTACTTCTAGTTCTAGATCCTTGAGGAATCGCCATACTGTTTTCCATAATGGTTGAACTAGTTTACAGTCCCACCAACAGTGTAAAAGTGTTCCTATTTCTCCACATCCTCTCCAGCACCTGTTGTTTCCTGACTTTTTAATGATTGCCATTCTAACTGGTGTGAGATGGTATCTCATTGTGGTTTTGATTTGCATTTCTCTGATGGCCGGTGATGTTGAGCATTTTTTCATGTGTCTGTAGGCTGTATGCATGTCTTCTTTTGAGAAATGTCTGTTCATATCCTTTGCCCACTTTTTGATGGGATTGTTTGTTTTTTTTCTTGTAAATTTGTTTGAGTTCTTTGTAGGTTCTGGATATTAGCCCTTTGTCAGATGAGTAGATTGCAAAAATTTTCTCCCATTCTGTAGGTTGCCTGTTCACTCTGATGGTAGTTTCTTTTGCTGTGCAGAAGCTCTTTAGTTTAATGAGATCCCATTTGTCAATTTTGGCTTTTGTTGCCCTTGCTTTTGGTGTTTTAGACATGAAGTCATTGCCCATGCCTATGTCCTGAATGGTATTTCCTAGGTTTTCTTCTAGGGTTTTTATGGTATTAGGTCTAACATTTAAGTCTCTAATCCATCTTGAATTAATTTTCGTATAAGGAGTAAGGAAAGGATCCAGTTTCAGCTTTCTACTTCTGGCTAGCCAATTTTCCCAGCACCATTTATTAAATAGGGAATCCCTTCCCCATTTCTTGTTTTTGTCAGGTTTGTCAAAGATCAGATGGCTGTATATGTGTGGTATTATTTCTGAGGACTCTGTTCTGTTCCACTGGTCTATATCTCTGTTTTGGCACCAGTACCATGCTGTTTTGATTACTGTAGCCTTGTAGTATAGTTTGAAGTCAGGTAGCGTGATGCCTCCAGCTTTGTTCTTTTGACTTAGGATTGCCTTGGCAATGTGAGCTCTTTTTTGGTTCCATATGAACTTTAAAGCAGTTTTTTCCAATTCTGTGAAGAAACTCATTGGTAGCTTGATGGGGATGGCATTGAATCTATAAATTACCTTGGGCAGTATGGCCACTTTCATGATATTGATTCTTCC